CTGAGAAGTCTCGTGGCGATTATGTGATTATGAATGTTCAGATTGTAGATCTAATCCAAGGGTTGAGAATTGGTCTTACGGGTCTCACGAAAAAACCCTTGATCTCACATGATCCAAGTCGCATATAGAGATATAATTACATGTTTTACTGTAGATTTTGATATTGACATCAAATAAGGATGGACGTAACCGATCACTAGATCTGCTTCAAATAAGGATCGGAGAACTAATGAACTTTTTAATACCATTTTCGCATGAAACTTTCAAATTCAAACACTAATATAGTAACTTGTATATTACATACCGAAACTTATACATTATTTTGAATTCGAAACTTAAAACTGGACTAACTTTTTGATACCTAAAGCCAGGTCATGAATGGCTCCAAGACTACTAGCTAAACAACTTCTTTTTATATTTTAGCCCAAAAGGGGTAACGTCGGTGTCGCAAACATCCATACCGTGCCATACGTTTCTTGGCAGATATCGACGAAAATAGAAGTAATCTGAACTGAGGTGTGGTCCCTCTAGTACTCGAACTTGTGCAAAACCTGGACGCCAATCATCTTGACCTGTCAATTTTAGATATAGGTAACACACGGGTGAATCTACACAGTGGCTTTTGTGTTCAAATTGGTCTATTGTGCAAGCTTGAAACGGTTTTGTCGGTACGTCGTCAAGAACTTGTGGCTCAAGAGGATCAAGCCTTTTGACATGCTTTGAGTTGAGGCGATGCACGAAGATGTCATTTGAATTCGAGTCCCCAAACCTTATGCTCACATGGTTGGTAGTGTCAGCACCCTTTATGCAAGTTGTTTTCACTGTAATTGCATATGTACAATTTCTCTGTGACATGAAAACAAAAACATCTCGGATTCAGTTCGACATCAAAATCCAAAAAAGCGCAAAATTAAGATAACGATGTTTTACTTTTGCATTCAAATGAAGTGGAATGGTAGCTCCTGACGACGCCAATGCCATTTTTTTTGAAAACATGACATGAACAACAACAACAACCGATAACATAAAAATCACCCTTCCAAAATCTGGCATTATCATTTTACGTTTTCTGTTCTCAAAAAACCTAAAAAAATATATTTTTTTTTTTTCTTTTTCTTTTTGGAACTTAAATGACCAAGAAAATAGAAGTAAGCATGCAATTATATGGAGTGATATGAAGATGGTGGTTCTTCTCATCACTCATTCCTTTCTTCACCTCCTCATGTAACTTAATTAGATCCTTGAAGCTTTTTTTTTTTTAATTTTTTAATTTAAGGGGGTGTTTGGATGAGGAAAAATAAAACTGCTTATACTGACGTCAAACCGGTGATAAGCAGTTTTTGATAAGTTAATCTTTCATGACTTATGAAAAATTGTTTATTACCAGTTTAACCTTGTTTTATTAATGTTTGTTAATTATTAATCTTATTGATATAAATTTTTGTCAAAGATATTATTATAAATGATAAAAAATAAATTTTTACATGTTAAAAAATCAAATAAGTTAATAACCAATGCCAAACACTCTCATAAATCAATAATATGGAAGACTGTTTTTTTTGTCATTTTACATATATAAGCAAAATTTGCCAAACACTAAAAAACAACTTATTATTGTTTTTTGGTACCGCTATGAGCTAATCCAAACAATTTTTACAAAACTCCGGTTTAATACCACATAAGTTAATAAACATTTTTACAAAAAAAAACATAAGTTGTTTTAAATAAACAATCCCAAACACCCCCTAAATATTATTGAAAAAGTTTTAATATCAGATTTATAACTTAATTTAGAATTAAAAAAAACCTTAAAAATGTATAAATCTCGATTTGTTACGATAAATGTTTTAATATAATCAAATTTCTCAAACCACGTTATGCAAAATTTATGATTAAATTGGTAAATGAATAAACGATTATAAACTTTGCACTAAAAATTTGGCGTAAGATATTATATATAGTTAAAAATAATACCTGATGTGAAATAAAGTTATCGGTAGATATCTTAAGAAGTATCTATAAACTGTTTATCATCGTCAAAGTACAAAAATTCCCATCATGAAAACAAAAACTTTGTTTCACCTTTTAAGTTCTTGAGGACGACATTACGGGTCGTACTCAACTGCTACCTTTTGAGTGTAACATCAGTATTTATATGTGTAATTGTTTTGAATTGGAGGGATTTTGAAATATTTGATACGTTTAGTTTGTAGGAGTTGAAATGAAATTGAATTTCGTTTTTTATAAAAACAAATTATAAAAATTATTAAATTATTTTTTTATTAATTGATTATTGTAAAATAAGTGTTTTTAATATATATTAAAAAATTATTACATACAAATCCTACGAAATCCTGTAAAATACTAACCATCTCTGTGGAATTTCAAATTCAGGAAATCTTTCAAACTAAACATGAGATTGGAATGAAATTCTATTACAAATCCAATCCAATCAAATCTTGCAAATCAAACGGGGCCTTAATTGAAATAAAGTCTTGTTTGGTTATAAGACCCTTGTATTCTATAAAGCAAACGAGTTTATAGAAGAGTTCTCAAAAGTGTCAAATATAAAATAGTTAATACGTCACTTTATTTCAAGAAAATCCTAAGAAACTTGTCACGACGCTGAAAAGAATTCTATAAACTTATTGTAATACTTTTAAATAAACGCTTCATTCATTGGTCCTATAAACTTAATTTATGTAAAACACTTTATTATGACCCTTAAATACTATTTATAAATTCGATTTTGTCGCAGTGAATCTTGTTTTAGTTTACGGAGTTGTATTTTAGTTTTGATGCAAGCACATATTTGCTTTTAATGACTTGTATGCAAAATGAAAAACTTGCCCTTGTTCGACTTCTCCGAAATATTTGTTGTGAAGCGGGCTATGTGTTTATACGTGTACATTTTGTTGATGTAAAATGATAAATGTTTCGAAGCTTTGTTGTTTATGTTAGACTGGTACAAATTGGTGATCCCCAATGATTTAATCTTGGGAGTAAAATACATTTTTATTTTTTCAAAAGACATTAAACGAACCATATTGTCTTTTAAAAATAACAGGTATCTATATTTTTAAAATGATGATTGTTACGTTTATAATTAAGAATAAAGATAAAAGGGAAACTTGAGTCTGTATATTTAGGGGTTGTTTGACAGTTACTGAATATTTTAATGCAGAATGATTAAGAGGCTCTCATGATATAGTGCAAAATAAAATATAATTGTTTGGTAATGTTTATAATGAAATTAGGATGCTGAATGGTTAAGGGAAATCTATGATACAAAATCATTCAGGGGGTTTAGAACTATTAGGAAACAGACTTTTTTTTTTTACCAAACAAGATTCATCTCTTAACAATTCAGAGATTGTCTTTTAATAAAACTATTAAGAGATAAACAAACAACATATACATCACTTGTTGTATATTAATAAGTACACATCATTTGTATACTTGCTTTCCATTCCTCTATTTTTTTTAATTCATATTCCCTTCGTTTTTCATCATTTCTCTTATCTTTTTCAAGAACGATGGAGAAAAAAAAAAGAAATATTAAATGTGAATACTATGATAAGCAACTTTAAAAATAGATCATCTTAACTAAAAGGGTAGTGTCTGATTGGTTTGGGTTTGGACTCCAAAGTTCAAAAGTGTCTGAAGGTCTCATGTTCAAATCCAAGGAGGAAAAAAATTCCCCTTGTGACCACGAAGGTTCAAATGTTGTTACTTCGTACTACCCGCAAAGTAGGTGGTTGCCCTGGGATTAGTCGGCGCGCATAGCGGGTTGGATATCCATGTTTAATCAAAAAATAAATAAACAAATCATCTCGATTTCCTGGGTTCTATTAGAAATATGGTTAAGGACATTTTACGACATTCTTTTTGTGTTTATCTTGAAACGATGATATGAAAAAGGAATATGTATTTAGTTCTAAGAAACAAACAACTTCAAAACAAAAACAAAAATCTCGATCTGAGTTACGAGAGTTAGAAATTATGATCTCTGGAAGTTTATGCATTTTTCTTTTTACTTGTTACCCTTAATTTTTAAGTTGCTTATTATTGCATTTAGCATTTATTGACGCATTTTTCGTTAAAAGTCAAATGTTTGGATTAATATCTTTATTTGATGTGCATATGTAATTGATGTATTTCGAGCTCAAGTATGAATTCTGATGTTTGTGGTGATCTTCAAATCCATCTTGTTCAATAGGATATTCATTTTTGTAATCGTGCCCATATTAGAAATCAATTAAGGACGATGTCTTACGCTTTGTGCAACATTATGCTACATAAGTTGATATCGTGTGATATGTCTCGAAGTATGTGCTAAGCCAAATAAGAAGAATATTTATCGAGAAACGTGTTGACTATTTATTCAAGATTTTGTTTCAACAAATGAAATATAGACTGTCTCAGCTAATATTTATTAAGGCTTTGTTTGTTTTTTTTTCATTTTCAACTCTTAATTACCATTTATATCTGATTCATTCAGACGTTTGTAATTCAGACTCTTTGTTTTCTTATTATATTTAGAGAATCTTATCATTTAATATGGTCTGAATAAATAAGAGATAAATTGATATCTTAATTCCTCTTCTTTCCCTTTTTTCTTTGATTCTCTTTGACTATTGTTTCTTTCTCCACCAAGGACACCACCGTCCTTTCATCACCCATATGAAATGAAACCCCCCCCCCTCTCTCTCTCTCTCTATATATATATATATATATATATAATTTCTGTACGTATAGGTTAGCTTAGAAAATTAATGTGAAACAAAAACTTCTATCGACGATCTATCCTCTATCAAAAGTATTGATCTTTCGGCAAACAAACTCACCGGTGGCATTCCCGATAGCATTGCCAAAAGATTCTTGTTGTGTTCCATCTGTGAAGCAATTGTTGAGATGGATTTTAGCAATGAAAATTTTATGAAAATCAACATAATTTTGCAAAATGTTTGCACCTGATTTTACAAAAATAAATATTAATTAAGATTTCAGACTTCAGATGTTTGTCAGTTTATAAAAGAAAAAATAGTCTTAGGTGGCGTTTGTTTTTTAAGAAGCGCTGAAGTCTGAATTCACTTCTGATTTTTAAGAGGTGATGCCGAAGTCTGAAATCTGAATCAATTAGACAGTTTGTTTTTTGCGTCTGAAATCTAAAGTTTGAAGATGAGAGATCGAGAGTTGATATGAATCGACAGTTGACAGAGTTGAGAGATGAGAGATCGAGACAGAAGAGTTGATCCAGAGAAATCAAGCGCAAAGAGATCAGAGTAGGTAGGCGACGATTTGAAATAAGAGGTAATAAGAGGTTTCTCAACCACTTAAATTTTCAGACCTAATAAGAGTTTTTAAGCTCTTAATTGAAAAAAACAAACACACTGAATCCTCTTATATCTGACCGATTCAGACTTAAGAGGACATTAAGAGCTTTTTTATTAAAAACAAACAACCCTTTATTGTTTCCAATTTCAGACTTCAGCACCATCTCTTATTAATCAGAAGTGAAATGACTTCAGATTTCAATACCTTTTAAAAAACAAAAGCCACATAAATCCCTAATCGGATTCCTTACCAATTATTACTATCTTCTAGAAAATGAGAGAATTTTCAAAAAAGATTGTTTTTACAAGGTGACAAATATAATCACTTTAAATTTTGAGTAAATTATGTTTTTTTTTCCTGTGATTTGTTAAGAATTGCCAATTTCATTCTCGTGGTTTCAAAATTGTGATTTTAAAATTGTGGTTTTTGTCTTATTTTTGCAATTTATTTCTATTTTCGTCCTTGAGACTAAATACTACTTTTAAATATGAAGAACTAAAATAAAATGAATTGTAAACTACATAGACTTAAAAAGCAATAAAGTTTAAATTATAAGAACGAAAATGATCATGAATTATAAATCATAGGGATGAAAATCGTAATTTCAAAATCATAGAGATGAGCATAGAAATTTTTAGGAGACCACATTGACTAAAACCGTAATTTACTCTAAAATTTTATAAAATGCTTTTAAATCGAAAATGTACAAAACCAATGGGGT